ATTGATTTTTTATTTTTATTTTATTTACTTTATTGATCTCACACTGGAGAAATTTACCTCTGCATTTAACCCATCCCCTTGGGGAGCAGTGGACTGCCATTGTGCGGTGCCCGGGGAGTAGAGTGTGATTAAGGGTCTTGCTCAGGGACCCAAAGTAGCAATCTGTTGGGGTGGTGCTTGAACCCAGGACATCTGGATCCCAAGTGCAATGCCCTAACTACTACTGTAGGTCACCATCCCCCCCCTTATAGCTTTAGCAGATAATGAAAACCCAATATGTAGTGCCTTAGAAATTTTAATTATGTGACATGTTTTTTTTTTTTCCTTTTTATGTGTACATTTTATATAAATTTCATAATCAATCATGGAGACTGAGGATTTGATAGATGTTGAATTCACCTCCTCTTTTGACTGCTCATTTACGTTCTGTGGTGCTGTTCAGGCTCTCTGTTTGACTTAAGTTCTCTTTTATGTGATATCTCTAAGTTACCCTAACTTTCCAGAAGCACCACTGGGAACTTAATACAGTTTTAATTTCTGGTAGTAAGGGATATCTAGCCTAGGCTAGTATTACCTTAGCCCTGCTATGGGTTCTTTCTCTGTCTCCCTTTCTAAATCTCCATTTTCTCTTTACTGCTCTCTGTGTCAAATTTTCAGTTATTCCTCTGCCTCCTTTAGTGAAACTGACATGTATCATAAAAGTATGTTTGTAGGGTGTCAGAGTTAGAGTCCCAGGTTCGGGGTGTTTCCATTAGTTAACAGCCCAGAGCTTCAAAACCAGGTACTCAGCTATAAAGTGGTCCTCCAACAGTTTCAGAGCATCCAGGAAACTGAGTGACGATACGCAGAAAGCGTAGTCGTAGATCTCTGCCCACTGGTCACCATCAGTATGTCCACATTTCTAACTGGTTTTCCTCACCTATTCAGCCACTGGGAAGCTTTGATCTGGCAGTTGCATTCCCACTTCAACATCAAGTTCAACATCACTGCTTATTGCCACCCATCATCACTTATATAGGTGAAGATGAGAGAGAGAAGGCTAGTGATTTGTCTGAGCAAAATATGATTAAAATGTAGTATGAATTTATTTTTGTAATTAAACTGAGTGTTAATTAATAATATAAACTATTCTTATTCTATGTTTATAGAGTTTGCCTTTATTAAAGTAAATCAATAGAAACATTTTTAAAAAGTTGAACATAAACCTTTTAGAGAGTCCAATATTGGTGCTCCCTCTGAGCAGCTCAATGTTAACGTAAAGCTTTTGCTCACGTCAGTCCAGCTTAGACTGCCATGTGAGAAATTCTCTTTCTCTTGAATATGAGACCGCTGTCTCTTCTTACACTCAGTAAAAACCAGGCTGCTGCTTTTCTCTCGATCTTTGACCTGGACGGATTGTGCAAATACAACCACAGAGAATCTCTGTGTTTGTGAGTGGCTGAGTTCCACTGGACTTCACTCTGACATTGCAGTCTATTCCCTCAAAATATTAACATTTTAATTTTTCTTCTATATCCCCAGCTTTTTACCCATCATACCTGCTGTCTAAGATCATTAGAATATAAGCTTCATAAAAAATATTTTTTTAAGTCTTAAATTAATAATAAAACCTTAAGATTGGTATTTTTCTAATATGTTGTACAATAGTTTGTGTGAAAAAAATGGATAAGATCCCCACTATAATGCATGTCATAGTTAGGGTAGAACCACACATGGAGGCTATTAATACAACATGCCAGTGCTCATTCCATTTTCATACTGTGGGATCACACTGTGACCTTCACTGGAGACAGTCAAGCCTGCTCACAGTGCCCCATGACCATATGGTAAAGAGCACTGACTGTGGTTTAACCATAAAGGGATTTGTTTCATGTATTTCCTAAAAATTATAATTTATTTGTTTTTCGTTATTTGAATCAGTGTTTTTCTTATCAGATAGCGTATAACGTTGGAGTTGGTGTCTTTTGTTTGCCAAAGAAAACATTGCTGTGTTGCTCCATTATGCCTGTCGGCATAGCGTCAGAGAGTGTGATCTACACCATCTGCTCTTGTGAGGCGGAGAGCAAAATGAAAGCTCTTTTGGATGTGTGCCATAACGGGACAGCTTCCACCAGTGAGGTCATCACTTACTGCCTTAGAGGACACTGCAGTTGTGGCTGAATGCAGTTATGAACAGCTCTACAAATGTACAGTGCAGTATGGATATGTGGGAGGGAAGAGAGAGAGAGAGAGAGAGGAGTGAGTGGGTGATGACAAAAAGCAGTGAACAAGGCTTGTAGTTGCATGCAGTATAAATAAATCATAGCAGAGCTTTGTGTATGGATTGATTTAACCGATTTGTTCAGCTCCTGAATTAGTCAGTCTACCGCATTGAAAAAACTACAGTTGGGTTTGTATTTAAAAAAAAAAAACAACTTTGTAAGTATGCTTTAGGAAGAACCTAACTGCTTTAGGTATAAGGAAGAAGAATCTTTGCTGTTCCTATGTTTAGGTAGAACCTTAAGCTTTGGTAGAAAATCCATTTTCATGATCCAGGACTAAACGGCTGTTTGGATTTACAGTTGGATTAAATATAGCTCTGTACAAGACTTAGACTTAGACAACTTTATTGTCATGTTGTATACACAGTGTATAGAAAACAAAAAGTCAAACCATTTAAATTGTAAAAACAAAGAGTAGTCATAAAATAATAAAAAATGTAAGATAGATCAATTAAAAAGTGTCATCTGCTGTCTGTCAGAGTTGTTCTTTTACTTGGCCTTAAACATGGCCTCATATAGATATCAAAGTTTTAAAAATGATTAAAAAATAATGCAATACTGCCCTCTGTCTGTGCCCTAGAAACACAGTCAGTGTTCTAGCATTGCAATTTCCTCAACAGGATTTAATTAGAAGAACAAGCAAAATGCGACAAAAGATGTATAATTTTTTTTTTTTAAAGGTTAAAAACCTGGCCCTGCAATACTGTTACCTTGAACTGAACAGATAACTTCTAAATACCTGAGATTCCAGCTCCTACTTCCTGTTCCTAGCTCCTTTATCTTTAACTTTTACAGGGTAAACTGTAAGCACACTATTCAGGTTAGAAAAATAACTCCAGTCAATCATGGTAAATTTGCCTTAGCCTTTTGGAAGTCATCACACTACAGACAAACACATGAATGATGCTTTCATGTGTTTTTTCATCCATGTTCTAACTTTACAGCCTTGCAGAAAGAACTACAATTAAAAAGGTTATAGAAATGTAGGCTGATGCTCTCAATTATAAAGCATATTGCTTCCTCTGTCTAGCTCAGTTTTTACTGCCAGAGCTATTCAAATAGCATTATTGGTTAGTGCTGATGCACTTCTACTGTTGTTTAAGTGTCCCTAATGTATTCAGAAGGAGCCTTTAGAATCTTTGGATAATATAAAGATTAGGGTGATGGCTACAACTACGGTAGGAGGCCGTATAACAAAGATAGTTTGTCTAAATAACGTTGGAGGTAGAAAAAAGCAGGTCAGTAATAAGGGTTTAATTGATGTAATGTTGACAGCCAAATATTTTAAAAGTTTTTCTTTGAATCAGGTTTAAACCTTTTACCCTCACTTACTATTTCTTGAGAGATGCATGTCGCATGTGATATTAAACATTATTTAAATCTTAATAAGGGAGAATTATGAATGGCCTTTAATAGGACCTTTGAAATGCCACATGCTTTTTATTTGTTGTGGGTTGTCTTTTGTAGCTGTTTTTTACATTAAAATTTTAAAAGTATGACAGTCACAAATATTTAGCCTGTATTACACATAATACCCTTAAATGGTGTCTATTGCAACCCGCTGTCTGATGATGTTACCTGAAAAAGAATACGTGGATGTTTTTGTTTAATCTGAGTATACTGTAGGTGCAGCCGCAGAGGTTTGTTAGATATTGTTTAAACAGCTTCCTGATAATCAGATATCCAAGTATAATCTTGAGATATTGATTTGTAACCCAACCCTTTTTAAACTCCTGCAAAACTGGAAGAAGTACGGTACAAATGCAACTTTACCAATACATGTCAAACCACCTAAACTGTCAGACCCAACAAGCAGAATATTCATGTGAAAAGCTGTGAAGGAAACTGTGGCAACTGTATAGGAGCGCCAGAGATTTACAGTTTATGTAAGAGACTGCATTAGCAAGGTATATATTTATTAAAAAACGCAAGAATAAAGCCTTTATTGGACAAAAGGTGATATGAGTCTAATTCACAGTTTGCATGACTCATGAAGCAACAGCAGACTTGTGGAAAAAGTTGCAAACATCAGATACACCAAACCTGGGTATTTTAGTGTGCCTGCAAGAATCTATAAGTTGGAAGGAACAAACACTCCACAATATGCCCAAAACACCTTTAATTCTTTGTCGTTTCCTAGAGGGGCACGGACCCTGCACAATGTAATGCAGATACCCCTTTTCAGCAGGGACAGATGAGATTATCAGCACTGATGAGATGGAGAATGGAGTTAAATAAAGAGTAATTTGAAGCAAGGAAAGAAGTTATCATTATATCAGGGCAGAAAACATTAAAAAGTCTGCTCTGCGATGTAATGATTTAGTATAAAGCACATACATTATTAAGGACCAGTCAAAGTTTGGACATGCATCCAGCTGAAGATCTATCACTTGATTTGAAAATTACTATTTGCAAATTATCTGTATCCAAACTATCAAAGCTTAAGAATTTTTGCAAATAAGAATATGAAGACGTTTCATTATTTAGAATCTGATGGAGACCAACCCTACAAGTATTTCAACCTTAATCGCATTAATGCTATTAACAGTGGGGGTAGAATAGAAAGGCATGCTACAATCTGAACATATAAATACTCAATAAACACACCAAATGTAAAATGGTTTAAGGCATTATTTTTACAGTCAAAAATAATTAATTGAAATTCATATTAGGACTTCTGAATTTTCTGACTTTTTTCTAAGATAAATCAAATAATCATAGAATAGTTGTATCTAAATTAATATGAGACAGAAAAGAGTTTTCTTTAAACTGTTAAGTTTAAATAAAATGTTTGTAGTCATACACAATGCATAAAATTTGGTTTAATCAGTTAAGCAAATCAAACAAAAGCTTACCAGTCATGCTTTAGGTTTTTACAATGACATCATTCAATGTAGAAAAAAACGAACAAATATGCCAAAATTTTTTGTTTTAGCGGCCAAGTCATCAATCATTATCTTGTACATCCAGTGTCAGTTTTGTAAAGTATCAATTCAGGTCCTGCAAGGTTTCAGTTCTACATAAATATACCCTAACTCTTGGAGCTTTGTGACTCGTGCAGCTCCTCTGCTATTGGACGGAAAACCTGTGGCAGATTCCTAGCCAGGGGTCCGTCCGGTTGGACAGAAAAGGCAAGTCGACTTTTAATCGGTCGCTTAAATAGGAATCTTTCTGAAGTAACCAAAGCACCATAGCCCTGAGAATGGGAGAAGGCGTAGCCTGAACGCCGGGTGCTGACACGCCTCACTGGACGGCGAGGAGGAGGTGCTGGCAGTGTGTCCTTTTGCATTTTATATCTCACCTGTAGAAAAATGAAAATGATTGGGAATTTAAGTAGAACACATTAAGCCCTACTCCTAATGGACTTATTTGTCTGGGGTGTTTTTTCTTACCCTGTCGTTGATAGTGGGGCGAATCTGCATCAGTATGAAGCGCAGAGCCACCACAGGTAGGACACAGAGCAGGGAAGTCAGGAACATGGTCAACCAGGCATTTGGCTGATTCAATGAATTCCTAGCTGTTCCTATATTTAACACAAGGAAAAAAATCATGTAAAAACTTCATGGATGTTTGTGCACAACCTTACAATAAAGGATTTGGAAGCAGTATACTAAAACTCAGGGTAGCAACAATTTGAAATAATACAAATTTCGATAATTGGATAATTAAAGGTATGTGTGTGAGTGAGTGGAATATTTGACATTCCATAATCTACCTGTTTTAAACTAAAAGTTAAATGTTTGCTAACTGGTTAATGGTTAACCTAACTTTTTAAAGAAGAGAAATTCATAATTGGAGCTTAGTTATTCAGAAAAACAGACCCACTAGAAATGTGTTTGTTTATTTTTAAACTGCTGGCTCTTTTTTAACTTGAAGACATTCATTTCTCATGCGTAATAATATCATAAAACAAAAAAATATTTGACAGATTCTTGAGTTTTCTATCTTTTATACAAACAAATGCACCAACAGCATACTGAATCTACTCACCAATAAAGGGGAAAATGGAGGTGAAGATCAGAAACATGCCGTTGCTGTACATGGTGAAGGTGATTGCAAAGTAAGCAGCCAGACTACCCCACACAAAGAAATGGTTTACTGTTGTCCAGTAATAGGTGTCAAGGCACAGCTGAAACATATAATTTAGAGTTGTTAACAGCTTGTATATAGATACTGCAGTTCTAATGTAAAATTGTTTGGAATTTCTAGTTTTGTTTTATTTGACTGTCATTGCCAAAGGATTTTGGGTTTGGAATCTTGTTCAGCAAACATTATGGCATTAGAAAAAGAAAAACATGGACTACCTGACAAACCTCAGGGAGTATTAACAAATACTGAGGCCCAGGGACATTAAGTTTACTGATATATATATATATATATATATATATATATATATATATATATATATATATATATATATATAT